TCAGCTTTCTTCACTACTTTTGCTTATTCAACCGCTTTGTCTTCAGCAGTGTGTCAGGAAGGTGAGCATCATAGAATGCCAATTTAATAGAAGAAAGTATTCTTGCATTGAGGAAGTACTTGAGTGGAGACCCAATGTTAGTCACTATTCTTGCAAAAAAACCAAACAAACCCCAAACACTGTATTTTGTTAGTTCTTATTTCTTAAGTATAATTCGGAGTCAAGTGGAACAGATAAATCATGCCAATGAAAATCTTTCTTCTAAGTACAGACAGGACTTTTCCATGAAGAAATGAGGAGCTAAGGGATGCGTACATGTTTACTTTGCATGTGAATGTAACCATGGGACACACTAGGTGAGTGAATAGACTGACATAAAAGGAGAAGCAATGACATAGGGCCTGGTATTGCGTTGCTGTCTGTCAGATGAGCCAACCCTCTGCCTGGTGCCATGGAAGAGGCAGCTTTGGTAGCAAAGTATTCTGAGGGTCTGGATTAAGCTTTCTTAGAAGACTTCCTGGAAAACTCTAGTTTCAGGTTGGTCTTGGCATGTTGTGGACTAGCTAGTTTCCTCCACATTGTGGAGGTGCTGTGCGTTGGACTCCGATGTCCCCAGGTTGATGAAATATACGTCTCCACGTCCTAACTGGGTGACTTTGAACTTTATTTTGTTAATCAGTAATGTAACATTGTGGCAGATCATTTTGCTTAAATATAATCCCAATGGTACCAATATACCACCACGTACCCAGTAGAATTGTCCTGGAGAATCAAAGGATGTGGTGATGCTTTGTAAACTATAAAGTGCTTTGTGCTAAATCAGTTGCTATTGTTGGCTTCTCCCATCTCTGGGCACCATTTCCCCATCTGGGTTTGGCCTTGTGAGTGGTTAATTTTACGTGTTAATTTAGCTGGATTATATTGACCAGTTGTTCGGTCAATCCCTCGTCTAGATGTTGTCATGAAGTGGTTGCATGTGATAAATTCGTTGTTCTTAAGTGAAGTTGATTACATTCCGTAATGTGCACGGGTCTTATCCAGTCAGGTGAAGTCCCTGGCAGCAAACATGGAGGTTGTCTAGGGTATGTTCTGCCTCCAGACTAAGTAGACATTTTTCCAGCACTCTTGCACAGTTACAGTGACAAATTTGGGGACCTAAAATGTATGCTCTGTGCTCAGAATCTTTGGCCTCACACCTACTTGATTAGCAGATTTTGGATTTGTCAGCCATCACAATCACATGAAAAAATTGCTTAAAATAAATCTCTTTCTCTCTAGGTGTATGCATAGATGTACATGAGCCTTTTGTTTCTTTAGCTAAAACCACTTCGAATCCTCACATTCTGTGAAAGGATGACCTCTCACCCAGCAGAGCTTTGGATCTCAACAGGAAGTCTAGCCTCTGCCAGTGGCTGAGAGACATGTTGGCCACAGAACTCAGGGGCATGTCTGTGGTTGGGCTTGCAGCCTTCCTCCTCTACCAAATCATACAGAAGGTATGTTAATTATCAATCTCAGTCATAGGGTAGTTTGTGATAGAGTTATAAATTGAGTACACTTAACATGTCATAGGTTATATGAATACTAACAACAACATTTTGCTGAGAATATGATCAGAGAAATTGGATTATAAGAAGAAGAATGCGGCATCAGGATCGGAGGGAAGTTTGTTAACAACCTGTGAAAGGCAGAGGACACAGCCTAGCTTGCTGAAAGTGAAGAGGACTTGAAGCACTTGCTGGCGATGACCGAGGATTGCAGCCTTCGGTATGAATTGCAACTTAATGTCAAGAAAACAAAAATCCTCACAACTGGACCAAGAGTTAATAAACATCATGATAAGCGGAGAAAGACTGAAGTTGTGAAGAATTTTGTCTTGATTGGAGCCACAACCAATGCTCATGGGAACAGCAGCCAAGACATCAAACGACATGTTGCACTGGGTACATCTGTTGCACCAAACTTCTCCAACGGGGGTCCCCGGGCCTTCCATCATGGCGATGGCAGTAGATTGGGGTCCTGGGTCTCGAAGCAGGCACCACTGCTGGGGGTGGGGGTGTGGGTGTAGGTGGGGTAGGGGGGGTCCTGTTTTATCTTTTCTGGGGCGAAGTCCAGGGCTAGGTTCTACATCTGTAAGTAGACCCCTGTGAAGTTCTGCCAGCCACTCAATGGCGCCCTCTACAGTGGTTCCTCTAGAATTTCACGATGAAACGAAGTACCGTTTGGTTTCCGGTTTCTTGGGACTCCTCTCTCTGGAGAAGCTGCCGGAGCAGCAACTTTCCTCACCCCAAGGGCTTCCACGAGATATAGTTTCACAATCTTTGGATCATGAAGGCCTATTAAAAATTAAAACTGAAATAGAAAAAGAGCCGACATCTTTAGACAAATAAGTTTCTGAAGCCTTGACCCACACAGGCTTTGATGGGCACACTCCCCGAGTGTTCAGCCCTGCAAACCCACAAAGCTCATAGAACAGTGCGAAGCGCCTTGTGGAGCCTCTGCAGAGAGCGTTGGCACGCGGTCCTGAGGCAGCCAGCGACACACCAGGCATTTCGGTAAGGCACATCGGAGACCGCAGTTCATGCCAATGGCTGGAAACAGGTTTTGGTGCTCCTGGTTTTGCTGCGGCAAATGCTTTTGCAGCTGGTGGGACGTGATCCAGAACACTTGAGTGCACTGCTACAGTTTGGCATGGCGTATCTGGAGGATCATGCAGCGGAACACATCATTCAGCAAGGCGGATGGGTATGGGAAGTGATGCAGGTAAAGATTATTTTCTTAGAAAACAACCCCCCACAAAAGCCCAAACACACTTCTTCTTGTTATTTTTAACGGCAGAGAGTTAATTTCAATACTGAATAATAGTCAATGGGAAGACTTCATATAGTTAAAGTGGAATTACCAGGATGTTGTGTATCATAAAACAGAACCAAACCTCTTTAATGTGTTGAAAAGCAAGCATGTTACTTCAAGAACTAAGGTTCACCAGACCCGAGCCATGGTCTTTTCCATGGCCTCATGTGCATGTTCAAGTTGGACATAGAATAAGGCAGCCCAAGAAGAGCCGATGCATGTGAGTGGTGGTGCTGGAGAAGAAGACTGAAGGTACCACGGAGAGCTAAAAGGACCGATGAGTCCGTCTTGGAAGTATGGCCAGAGTGCTGCTTAGAGGTAAGGAGGACAAAACTTTGTCTTGCACACTTTGGACATGTCGTCAGAAGAGACCAGCCCCTGGAGAAGGCCATCTTGTTTGGTAGAGGGACAGTGAAAGAGACCAAGGCCCTCACCCAGGTGATTGCCATAGTGGCTGCAAGACAAGCACAGGAACAAGTGCGAGGACATCCCAGGACCTGGCAGCATTTCCGTTGTACGTAGGGTCTCTCTGAGTCAAAACCGACCTGACTGCACGTAACAACAACAATAACAACAAAGTTGTTTTGTAAAATCTTCCTGCATTGAATTACATTATTACTTATAACTTTATTTGTAACTGAGTGGAAACCTTTTTAAAATTTTGCTTATCCTGTTTCTTTCTCTACCTCCATAGTTTTATTGAGATATAATTCATGTATTAGGCACTTCCATATTTTAGTCGTGTTTGAAAAGTTGTATATACATCACCACAATCAGTTCTGATACCTTTCTTTCCTTCATATTTGGGTTTTGTTATGTATCATCCTTGGATCACACAGGCTGGTGTGCTTCTTTGATGTAAACTTAGCTGATGCCTCATTTAGATGACTGCTTGCTTGAATACAAGCCTTTAAGACTCCAGACTCATTCTTTTTGATAGCCAGGCACCATCTGCTTTCTTTACCATACTTTGCTGCAGCACCCATATTTTCAGTGATCTCTTCATGAGGTTGAGCATAAGACCTAAATATTTTTGTATCAGGACTAAAGTTAAGTGAGAGCCCAGAATCCATTTATCTATTTGTTCATGGATTAGGTATGACTCTGGTTCACTTTAGAGGTCTCATTATCATTTTATGACAAATGGCTTTATCAATCACTCCCCTGGGGCATAAGACAATACTACTTATAGTGTCACTAATTTATCCAATGGCATAGATTTTAACATACTGTTGAGAAAAGGAAGTTATACAAGTATAGTGCAGCTCTGAACCATAATCTGTGAGTCGTTGACTTCACAGATAGAATTCTTAAATGATTGAGCTTTGTTTACATTAATCATGGGGGTTCATGCTAGGGGAACATTTCCAATAACAGTCATTCACAAGGGCAGAGACTTATCTAGCAGATTAATACACGTCATAGTAAAGCAAGGTGGACATTAACATGGTTAATATATGGTGATTCTTGGCTACATTCTTGGATACACTGCACATCCACAAAGGGAGGAATCCTAGCCAATGACCTCCAACTCCCCAGCCTTTGGGTGGCCATCATTTATTTCTTTTCATACAAGTGAATTTCAGTCTTAAGTCCAAGGGCTACACCTAATTTTTAGATAAAACCCAGTTCATTCAGTGGGACTTCCACATTGAGCCCTTCTGGTGTGGCCTTTCAGGGATGCTATGTTCTAAGTTCACCAGAATACATAGCAGATGGTGAGGTTTATAAGGGTTGGGTAGAAATGAATTCAAAGGTGTCTAACCAGGAACATAGTACCTGGCTTATTCTCCCCTGGGGTTCAGTATAATTATTGTTGCGAGTCCCTTCCTGATGTGAAATTGCTTCTCCCTGTTTATCCACCAACAGAAGTGCAAATGGCTCCTCCTAAATCTAGAAGCTCCCCTCCCCTGATCCTGACTTGACTTTTCAAGGAGGTTCCCTTCTCATTGCTGAGGGTGTCTGTTGATCTGGAGAGAGCTCATCTCACTGTTATACGGCCGGCCTCGGGGACATGCTCCCCCCCACCCCCAGCTTCTCGCAGGAGGCTCCGCTGAGGTGAGCTCTCCTCTGCTGAGGCGTTTCTCTCTGAAGCCCAAGTTGAAGTGGATGGAAGAGAGGCTGCTTCGCAGGAGGCGGGCAGTGCAGGTATCAGTTTCTAAGAAATGATCTATTTATTTGAATCACGAGTGAACGTCCTTGTCCAGACGCCAGCCCTCAGCAGGAGTGCAGTGGGGGAGAAGCAGACCCTTCTGCAGGGAATTTCAAAAATAGGTCAGCTGGCCAGTGAGCGTCTACCCTGGAGGGATGCCCTTGAAGAGCCCGAGGAGCTAGTGGAAGCCGAGAGTAACGTGTTTTCATAGATAAAGAGGCTGCAGCTTGGAACTGAGGGACGGCTATTTGCCTCAAGTCACACAGCTAAGCTCGAGGGCAGTGAATAAGAACACATGAGTGGGTCAGAGAGAACTGTTTCAGACTCCTGAGTCTAATACTCTATCTCTTGCCAGTGCTATTCATTGAATTTTGACTCCTAGGGACCCATTAGGCTAGAGAAGAACTTCCCCATAGGGGTGTCAAGGTTGAACATTTCTAGGAAGCAAATGATCACCTCTCCCTCCACCCCCACCCACACCCTCAGGAGCGGTTGATGGGTGCGAACCACTGACCTTTTCTTTAGCAGTTGTGCATTTTAGCACGGCCAGCAGGGGCTTTTATTGAGCGAGCTACTTAATATTCTAAGACATCACTTGTAAGATTGGGCTAAAAATGGACTCTCACTTCACAGGGTGGATATGTGGATTAATAATAGAATTCACATAAAGTAGTTACCACAATGCTCAGTATTTAAAAAGGGATCAGTAAATATTGGTATTTTGTGGCATTGATAAAATTTGGGGGGTCCTTTCTATTGTAAGCTAAGAAAAATTGGGAACAGAAAATGACCATCAAATCGGTGAGGACTGAATCAATTGCTACAGTCCCATTGTGGACTAATTGACACTGGGAACAATGGATTCAAGCTACACCAGATGACTTGGAATGACTGCCACAAAATGATGTTGGATGAAAAAGGCGAGGTGCAGGAAACTTCAGTGTGGCCCCATGAAAAGAAAAAAGAAACAATGAGCAAAAACTATACATGTAAATGTAAATCCAAATACATGCTTGTTAACGATTGAAAGAGAACAGGTAAAAATGTGGAAGTTGTTCCAACAAAAAATTGTACATGAATGTTCATGGCAGTTGTGTTAGACAGGGTTATCTAGAGAGATAAAAGCAAATTGCTGACAATTTAATATATTTATTTATAAAGATAATTAGGTATATAACAAGAAATGAACTGTTAAATCATATACAAATAAATATATAATACAAGAAAGAAACAGTTAAATTATAAAACACTACAAATGGCTCAATTCAACTCACTTCAGTGAGAGACTTGTGAGAGACTAGCAGTCCTTCAAGTCCTGTCTGCTGTCGAATCTTCCTCTATTTATAGAGAGAGGCAGGCTATGTCAACACAGCAGCCAATCAGAAGGCAGGTCACCAACTGCCAGCCAGGTCACCAACTGCCAGTCCCCAGCTCCAGCAATCTCATAAAGGGACCTCAACTTACAGTGACACAGTCCACAGGCTAGGCATCCCACAGGTAGTGTAGCCTTTAAATTGAGGTACAGGACAAGCAAGGCAGTCGCACACTGGTGCGAGAGACAAGAAAGACGAGGCTCACCAAGCCATTTATCTCTTTGCCCTTCAGTTAATCCCACTTGTGTTTATCGGCCAGGCTGGCACAATAAACTATCTCAGCAGTATTATCTATAATAGCTTAAAAGTAGAAACAACCTAGTATCCATCAGCTGATTAAGAGATAAAATGTGGTGTAGCATAGATGGGATATTACTGAGCTGTAAGAAGGAATAAAGTTCAACACTGCTTCAAAGTGGGTGAATCTCAAGCACGTTATAATAAGTATAATTGTAGGATTCCATTTATAGGAACTGTGCATGAAACGTAAATCCATAGAGATAAAAAGCAGAAGAGGGCAAAGGAGGATGGGGAATGATTGGCTGGCTATGGAATTCCTTTTTGGGGTTAGATTGAGTGGTGCCTCTCCCAAAATATGTGTCAACTTGGTTAACCCATGATTCCCAGTGGTCTAGCAGTTATGTAATAAAGCAGCGTCTCTCCCCACCCTTCTCAAAAAGTTGTGGTCTATGTGATAGGCCAATTGTAAGGTGTTTGGGGCAGAAGACAACACTCTTAAGCAGGCCACAGCCTTGATCTGATGTAAGGAGCATCTCCCTGGGATGCAGCCTGCATCACCTTTTAACTTACAAGGAGAGTGAAATGAGCAGAGAGGCGGGACCTCCTACGATGGAGAAAGAAGAGCATGTAGGGGAGGACATCCTTTGGCCCCAGGTTACTTGTTCTGAGAACCTCCTAGACCCAGGGGAAGCAAGCAGGCTCAAGGTGCTGAAGGGAGACAAGGACCTTCCCCCAGAGCCAGCACTTAGACCTTGACACTGGCTTCGTGAAT